TACATTCAGTTTCACAGCGTTACTCACGTTTTTAAAGTACTTTCCTCACAGTTGTACACGGTGGTAACACATGCTCTCACTCTGGGTTTTATTCCTGTTGAAGCAGCAAGCATCAAACCAAACAGGGTACAGACCAGGCTTACATTAAGAAGCCCCCAAATGCCTTCATGCTGTACCTTAAAGAGCAGAGGCCAAAGGTCAAAGCAGAGCTAAATATCAGTAACAGTGCAGCTGTGAATGCAGCTGTGGGAGAGAGAGTAAGTGTGTAACTCTGAATATATTTATGCATCTCTTAATGTTCTGTGCTCTTGTTTGTGCATGTGTACCAGCTGTCCTGTAGTTATTTGTAGTAGCAGTGTTTCTGTGTATTTATACAAGCTGACAGTGTGTTCTTGTGATCTTCTATCCACAGTGGAAGTCGCTCTCAAAGAAGGAGCAGAAAAAATATTTTGACGAGGCTGAAACACAAAGATGTCATCACGCCACAGAACATCCGAATTGGTCAACCAAAGAGAACTATGTATGTCCAAAGTGCCAACATACAGTTCATGCATGTGCCTTTCACTGCACTGAATGATGAAACAGTCACTGCAGAGAGTTTGTATCAGCTCAGGAAAATTCTGATGTGTTTGTTTTTAGGGCAAAAAGAGGAAGAGAGTCAGAGATCGCAACTGCAGCAAAGGTGAGAGAATATTTCGGGGGAAAAAGTCAAAAATCTATTAAAAAAGAACCACTGTGTTTTTGTTTGTGTCTTCTGAACCTTAAGAGGACGCTCAGCAGGCCAAAAAACCTTGTATGAGACCAAGTCAAACAGAGCCATCTTCTAATTCAGCGATGAAGGAACCACATCAGCTGGATAGAGTCTGGGTGTGCCAGCCACAGACACAGCCAGGTGTTAACACCCTAATCAATCAGAACACAGTACTGGTGCAAATGCCAAACACACTGAACCCGGTCAGTGTGCCTGTGTGAAAATGTATTAGTCCCTCCTGTAATAAAGTGAATTATTGTTTGCAAGATGATTTGTTCCACAATGGATTGTGTTGCTGCACGGACGTTTTAGAGTGGAACACAAGTAAGTCGGGGTTGGGCCAGATTGTTAGGCTGTATGTTATTGTTGTACATGGCAGAGGGTCAATCTGAGTGGCATGACTTCTTAATAAACCTTACTACCCCGTTGGGTAGGAAATAGATATTCTGGAGTCAGTCGTGAATGAGACCAGAATATAACACCTCCTGCCTCTCACCCGGAGTCCCCTCCATTCACACCACTGATCTCCTCTACCGCACCAAGTTCCTCAAACAGAATCACCCTGAGCCCGTCTCCTTCCCTACACAGTCTCAGCATCACTCCTCTCAGTGGGAAATTCCCTAGACTGGTCCTCAAGAAAATCAAACCAACCCTCATGGATTCATTTCCATCATAGGCCTCCTCTGCTCCAATCATTCCACTCCAGACCGAGGCCTCCTCATTTTGTTAATGCAACACACGTGCATTAACAAAATAAAGGCACCGGGGCAGAGATGAAAGTCACTACTGAGCCTTTTAGGCGTCCTTCTGTTTTTATGTTTCTGTTTTTATGTGTCTTTATTATTTACATGTGTTTTTGCTGCTTTGACATATTAAAATGTAATCTGTAAAACTGTCCACTGAAATGTTACCTTAATGTCATTAAAGATTCTCTGTATTTAACATTAAAAAGTATGTTAGATTATGTACTGATAGAAATTCACAGTCTCCAGATTTGTCCAGAGTGCAGCAGACTGATCTACTCATTACGTTGAAAGCATACCTCTGATTGATCTCCCATTATGAGACTCTACTGTTTGCTGGCTGTTCCTGTAGTAAGGATATAAACTATAAACACAACTTTTAATGGTAGAGCCTCTTATATACAACTACTTCAGCCGTTACAAAAATTGTTGTTAGGAAGACACTGATTTAACTTCACAGTAATTGGAAAGGCTTAAGTTTGCAGTGCTGTTGAACTGCTGAAGTAAGATATTTTCCTCAAGGCACTTACACCAGTCACCCATTAACAATGAAACTATGGATGGGTGACATTTCTAAAATTGATAAACTTGTTCAAATACAATGTTAAAATGCTGGAACATAACAAACGAGCTCATAGCATTGAGACAGGGTCCAAACATTAAAGTTATAAACTGATCCCCATGTCACTGAGTGAAATAAGGATTTGATCCCCTACAACCCAACAAGAATTCTGGCTGCCACAGATGTGTTTTGTGCCTGTGGTTTTATTTATATATAAATATATACGGTGGCCCCTAGAGACAAAGCACGTACAAACTCCAAAGCACATACAAACTGTATCCCAATTGGGTCTGCATGTCACGGACCCGGCTCTGGGGACTCGGGGTCCGTGGGCAGTGGGGACTGTGACTATTATTGTTGTTGTTGTTGTTATTATTATTATTATTATTATTTGGTGTGTTGTCTGCACTGCCCCTATGCACATCTGTATGTAGGCAGGTATGTGTGTGTGTGTGTTTTGCCTTTCTGCTGTGGCCAAATTACAGGCACCTTCAGCCCTGGGGGCGTGGTCTAACTTGAGGGCTGGCCACACCCGAAGTCCTGGCCGCACACCTGCTCCTCATCTGGGCTCGTCGGGGGAGCTATTTAGATGAGCGATGGAGCTTCCACCGACGCTGGATTATTGCGTTTGACTACACGTCAGTCTTCAAACAAGTCAAGTGTGAGTGTATGCCTGCTGGGATAAGTGTTAACGGCTGCCTCTATTGTTTTCCCCTCAGGAGGAGTGTGGGACGAGAAGGAGCAGTGAGCACGGGGAGTGCAGGGACACTGGGGCAGAGAGCACTACACGGGGACTTTTGGGAAGAAGACACTACACGGGAGTCTGGGAAACTGGGGATTTATTGTTGTTTACTTCACCACCTTGTAAATAAACACTGTTGCACTGAAGAGTCCGGCGTTTGGGTCCTATTTCCCCATCTCCCCACGGTCTGCCAGCCAGACCGTGACACTGCAGCCTTAAAAGCTGCATTTTAAGGCCGATTACGATTATTACGTAATCGTTACGATTATTTATTTCGGTGTTCTTTTTTCCCCTGAGATGTCATACACTTTGGATTCTAGCCAATCATTTTACCTTTGCAAGCGTAGTAGGCGGGCCCAGGTACGTACTTTCTTTTAGAGCAGAGCTACAGATTAAAAATGCCCAAGGCGAAGCGGTCAAAAGTCTGGCTGTACTTCACAGCAAAAGATGCAAACTCTGCAACAAGTTCTTTAAGGTGATACTGTGCAAATGAGGTAACACCTCGAATCTGATAAAATGCCTGGCGACACATAGCGGGGGTTTTTTAAGCCGAGAAATGCACCGTATTTGATAGCTTGCTGCAAGACCGAGCACATCTTCTGCGGGTGTGGTGCCTGTTATCGGAACCGGAGTTAGCAACATCCCCCAAGAACCCGAAGAGGAGAGTCAGTGTAGCAGAAATGATGACGGATGATGATGGCAGCAGCAGCCGTTCTTCTCTGGGTGAGTCGCTTAATGTTGTTCGTGTGTAATTTACGTTGAGTAGGCTAACCACGTGATTAAATTAATGCATGTAAGGTGAACTAGCAAACACCATCATAAGCACCGGTTCAAGCACCGGCACCGTTTCAAAAGTACCAGTTTGGTACTGTGGGATTATAATATTATTTTATGCCATGTTAGACCCCTAATTAAAGATTGTGAATTATTATGTAGTTTTAGTTTGCATTATTCTCCTGAATTAGAAGAAGGTGATAACTATTGCATTTGTTAAACTGATTTGCATTACATTAGACTGCTGATTTATTGTGGATGAATGATATTGTTTTATGATGCATTATACTGCTGAGTTATAAGAAATACTGTTCGCAGAAAGTCATCGCCTTATTTGTCTGATTAGAAGAGAACAGAACATACTGGAGTTTTCTGCCCCATCTCAGCAGGAGCAGATAAACAGGGAGCCAAGGTCGTAGCTTAGGCGCCTTGTGAGAGAAAGAATGTGATTGTTTAGGCGTTTATGATTAGGTGGGGGCCACTAAAGGCTATAAGAGTTTGATCAATGCTCCACCATTTTGAGATCTGATGCTGTCTGCGTATGGTGTCCATCTCCCACGCGTGTGATCATTAAAATCATTGTTTGACTCAACCCGGCCGGACCAGTGTTGTTATTGTGGTTTTTCCTCTTGTATCCATCCCCAATATTTGAATCCGTAACAGTACTGGTATCGGATAAAACTTAAACGATACCCATCCCAAGTCATGAGTGATATCAAGTCATTTTTGAAACAGAAAGAAGATTCCTGTTACAAGGTTGAAGCTGCAATCCGTTTTTCTGACTTTATACATTGTTTATTGATTCAGGTAAAGCGTGTCCTTTTTTAGAGAGATCTGACCAAGAGAGCAGGAGACATGGTAGAAAATAAATCATAATAGAATTTTTTAAAAGGATTGACTATAATGTAGAACACAAGAGTAGGTAAAATCACGCAGTTATAAGTTGCAAAACAGTTAATTTCTTTATGTTATCTGTACTTACTTATTGGTAACTACAGTTCTGCTCCACCCCAGCAACCACATCCTAGTTTTAACAGGTAACAAAGCCGTTTCTACTGCGTTTATACAGTAGAATGACTGTGTCGATTGCTTTGAAGTGTCTTTGGTCTGGTTTTCAGCTGCTCTGTGTCAACACTAAAAAGAAAAGATTGTATGTCTGTCCTAAACAGGAAAGGGATTCATGTAAGTGTGTGGGACTAATGTTTTCATTGTTAACTGTTAACTGCGTGACAGTGCATTTCAGGGCATGTTACGAAGTAATGCAAAAGTAATAAAACAAGCACAGTAACAAATGACTTTCTCTGGCAGTATCATACTGCATTATGTTCAAGATGGGCAATGAGTAAATGCATTACTTTTTTTGAGTACTCCATCAATGTAGATGTGACATTTCTAGAGAGAAGAAGAACCAACACAAACACAGCAGAGTTCTGTAATATCTGTTTTTATTAGAGAAATAATGTTATCATAGAGCTAATAGTAGTAAATAATAGAGCAATAGAGCATGCTCATCCTCCAGGGGTGGGGGGGTTTACTTTTGCATTGTAATTTGCAATATAATGAATGAATACATTCAAATAGTCTGAACAAAAGGCTTAACTATATTTACAGCACTCCAATATAACAAACTGTAAGCTTGTTTTTGCCTTGCCTGAGTGACACATATGCAAATATGACATTAACCCAGTATGCTTTGTGTATCAGTTTACTGAGCAATGACTCATGAAACTGGAGATGAGCAAATATATTTATTTCTGCACCCTTTTATCGTTCAATGTGTAATTTACTGCCGCTGTGATTTATTCAGAAATTGTGCAATCCCGTTATGCATAAAACATGCAATATATTCTATGTACAAACCTTCATTTTAACATTACGCATCCAAAATTTTCTGAGTATAATGATAACAGTTTCAAAGTGCATGGGGTGTTCTGTAACTTGCCAGAGCAAAAAACAAAAACAAACAAAAGCTCGGACAACACAATCACTCCCAGTCTGTTTCCTAATAATCTGATAGAAGTCATTCATGTTTGGCTTTGTCATCCATAGAAACAAGCTGCATTTACCCCTGTCACCTTTCTCTGCCAGTTTGAGAAAATGCCATTTTTTTTACCGGTTGACCATAAGACACAGACAAAGGTAACAGGAGGCTATTTCTTATTTCTACGGTGCCATATCAGCCCTGGTGCTCATCATTTACAGCATTTCCTCTTCTCAACGTGCAGCACTCTGTTGCAGCGTGGGCAGGTGTGGTAAGCATCCTTGAATCTCTTCATGAAGAACGGAATCAGGCAGCAGCAAAGGACTAACCTGCAACACACACACACAGAAGGTTAGAGTCGTGCTGTCATACAGCAGATGAGATCATTCTTTATTACATTTTTACATGCATATACAGACATGAAAAGAAAGAATGTTTCCACTTCATCCTTTGAAGTGTGCTGTATGCAGTGTATTTACAAGAGATAAAATTGATAAAAATCAAGTAACAGAGTTGAACAAAGAAGATCTGTGTTCAAAAGCCTTGGGGTGCTAAAAAGAAGCTAACTGATTAAAACCACTCACCCACAGCAAATGAAGAGTAAACACATGAGCCAGGCGTACGTTCCTGCCTTGTAGGTGACATTGGTCATAACCTGTTGCTGGCAGGAAGCGCAGGTCGTCATGCCGGACTCAGTCCCCAGTCCCATGTCGTAGCTTACAAACTTTTTTTTGCCTTCTCCAGAGTCCAAACCTTGACCTGCGCCTCCCCCTCCGCCGGTGTACACTGAGAGAAGACAGGAAACATGCAAAACAATGAACAACAGTATGTTTACCTTAAATCTTCTAAAAAGTGTGAGACTCAGGTGTGAGAAGAATACCTGGCGTGACAGATTGCTGTGTCTGCGTGGAGGGTGGGGTGAAAGGAGTGTGGGGGTGGTAAACTCTCACGCCATCACCTTGACTTTCTACTGGACCATATGAAGAGGAAAAGGGAAAGAATCAAGCTGGTGAGGAGATGACGATAATGATCATGAATATTGACTGAGCATGTGTGAGCTGTGGGCTTACCCGGTATGATGTAGGGAGGGGGTTCCTTTTTTCCGTCTGCACTCATTTTGCTGCAAAGAAACAAAAAGGACTGTAATGAAGGGTGCGGTCAGGGCCAAATACCTGAGATCTCTCCTGTGATTCTGCTTTCCCTTTTTCTTTCCAATGCTCAAGACAAATGCAATGCTGCTTTGTGCCACCAGAGGGAACCAAAGCCTTGGCGATTGAACTGAAACATTGCCGGTTCGATCACCATGAAAATGTCTCTCATTCCTGTCTGACACATATCTAGCCCTTCATTGTAGGGACCTTTCATGTGAGCAGCTTTTGGGAAACGCCTAGGAGCGTCTGAGTGCCAGTTGGACTGTTTCAGGTGTGGCTGCTCACAGAAACTTCTTTCTGACCTCCTTCTAAAAGAAAATCCTTGGAATTGCATTAGTGCTTTGTTTTCCCATTTCATGTATAATATCAGGCTACCAGAGAAATTACATTACTGACTGATGCAACATAAACCCAAAGATATTTGTTGAATTAATTAATGTTTCATTCGTTTGTACGGCTGAAATGTTACTCGTAAGGCATTTCGTGTGCACAGCTTTCTATATGTACTTGATAAAAGTATATGTATCATATGTGACAATCTTATATATGTAGTAGCAGTAGGAAATAAATAACAGTGGAATCTACTGCTTGGATAATTTGATTGTATACTCTGAGATGATACTGAAATTCAGACTTTAATACTTTAAAAACAGATGTTGAGACTAACAAACTTTGAGTGAAGTCTTTCTAATTATATTATAACAAAACGCTTCCACGTGTGAAGCAGGTGCCATCCCCCAAGGTACATGCCAAAAGGTAAAGAAATCCAACGCTGGCTCTGATATTTAAAGTATTAGATTGTATGAGTTACATGGATGCTGTGTGCCAGGTGTAACACAACCTTATTGTGATTATTTATATATTTCATGAGCGTGTAGAGCACGTGCGACATAATCATCTCCAATACACACTGCTGGTATCCAAAAAGTGCTCCTGGTGTCTCCGACCAGTGACCAGTGTCGGCTGCGATGATAAGACGAGCCAGAGGAAGTGGAGATAAATGATAAGATAAGCTAAGAGAATGTGAACATAGATTGAGTAAAAGTCAAAATCAGAGCTGAAATATCTGCCAAAAAGCATCACTGTCCAATCAGTCGTTATATCAATATCAATCTAAAGCTCAGAGATAGGATGTGAAAAATCATTTGATGTTACATCATTTAAACATAATCTGTATTCTTATGATAGAAGGCACAAATGTGATGCCGCATGGCTCACAGTATAAAAAATGTCTGTTTGTTTCCGGTGTTATCTGGACACCTCTCCCTCTGGAAGAGCATGCTGTAATTTAAATGTGTCCATATACAGCTGCCAGACGTATTTTATAGATTTGGATGTTTGCCTGTAAAATTTAATCCACTCTACAGAGTCATTCCCAAACTGAACACATTCATTTATTCACTCTATTACATCCTCACTGTGCTTCTGAAGCTCCAGCAGTGTGAGAAAGGCCCTTTGACAGTCAGAAGTCATGTGACTGGTTTGATGGAGGATCACAGAGCTTAAAGTATACTCGCGCGTTCCTCTCTGCGTTCAGCTTGTTTCCTTTTGTCTCACTTTTCTCGTTTCTCTCTTTCCACACAGACATGCACAATAACTGGGCGCTACCTTGATCAACCATTCATTCTCTGAATGGTTTTCTGTTTCTCTTACACAAACAGCCTTGTTTCCCTCACTACATTTGCAGCACACTAGCCTAACCTTAACCAAGATACGTCACCCTAAAATGTATTATTTACATTATTGGGTCTTGCTTAATGTCTCCACCTGCTACACCAGCCTAGGTAAGTCCGATTCAGAACAGAAGCTGATCGACCGCTTTATCGTTGTGTCACACATAGACATTGAGAACTTGTATACACCCATATGATGGCGCAGGAATGCGACTGAGCTGCATGCTTCCCTCTGGGTGTGCAAGCCAAAACTGTTACAACACCCTCTGAATTTGGTCGTGAGAGAGCAGGATTTTTATTGTGGTTTTTTTTTATGCAGAAATACAATATGTTTGATGACTGTTAACAAGGAGCAGTAACGTTATCTAATGTGCTGCTTTTTCTCTTGCTGGATCTCTGTGCTCGGAATAGCCGGTGGCACATTAATTGGATAAAGTTCTTCCCAGAAGCTTCCCAGAGTTCTTTCCCTTCACATAAGGACCATTTAGCATGGGATGTACGTATGCTTTTGGGGGGGAAAGGAAATTCATGGAAATTAAGCAGGTAGGTTTTAGGTAAATATGCAGTGCAGTCTTGGGCTTATGATGAGTTCAGTGAAACTGAATGAGATGCAGAGTAGAACTTTTTGTTACATATGAGTTAACACCCTGCTGTAGGCGTGGCTTCACCGAGACTCTGGTGCTGGTCAAACCTGTGTCTCCATGTGAGAGAGGGAGGGAACTTTGTTTTTCATTTTTTTCCATGATGAATTTCAGTATTCAGCTGATGAATCAGTGGGCAGTTTAAATCTGGAAATTCCCTGATTAAACAATCATCACATTATCTGACCTTGATTTTCAGTTCACCTTTGATAATCAGCCAAAACAATCACAGAAATCCCCTAAAAGCAATTTGAAAATGAAATACTTGGATACAGAACAAATGTATATATTTATTTACAACAACATGAAGGAACTTTTTCACTATGTGCACATGCATGTCCTTTCACTGCATTCAAAATGCAATCTTTTACATTGTTTACATGTCAGCCATAGCAACTGCTGCAAAGACCGTCCTCACTCTCACTCTGGATCAGTTACTTATGATGGTTTTTCAAGACCCAGCTGAAGTACGTCAAGAAATCTAAAACGTAACACCTGAAATTTTACCCATGAAGATGATTTGAATCCTACACCAGGCCCCGTCTCTGTCAAATGCGCTAAGTTATAGTCTAATTCAATGTCCCTGCAGGTCCAGAATGTAAGTCAGTCAGACAGTAATGTTCATGGTAAATCCTGAATTAAAGCGTTTAGAGTGAACCCTTTTTTTGTAAAGGTGCAGTGTAACACACCTTTATAGCTGCATTATGCTGCACAACCTCAGTCTTTGAAGTAACAACATAAAAGTCAAGAAAACGTTGGCAGATTAGCAGAAACATGCGCATAAATAAAAATCAATATTGGCTCCTGTGTATTTCTGTTCCCTTGTGTGATTTATGCAATGTTTGAATTTTAATCATGTGATATTTGATTTCCAATTGGTCTCTTTTGTGCGATATAACTCACTTTAAATTCACTTGTCAGAAAATCCCAAACCTGGCTTTCTTATTCTTGTCGTGTCCTTTTATGTCTTCAGTTTTAAATTCTTTGAATCCTTCCCATTAAAATAACCAAACCCGATTCTCCACTCCGTCAGCCTGAACACAGTTCGTTGTTCTCTTCCTATAACACACAAACGTCTGGCAGACTTACCTTGGCTGGGTTGTTGTCAAAATGCAGAGATGAGCTTGTTGCTGATGCAGAGTCCAGACAGATTCTGGTTAAGATCTCCACCTGTCCCTCTACCTGTAGGTGAACCTCTCCCAACACACCCAAAGCTCCACCTCCACCATTTTAACCACGAACATGCTGTGGTGATGAGTCACTCCATGGTTTTGATTGTAGCTTTCAAAGGCTGAACCGGTCGTCATCTTTGAAATGTTCTTTGTTTCTGTGAGATTATTGAGGGTGTGTGTGTGTGTGTGTTACTTTAGTCAGAATAACCTGTTTCCCTGTAAGGCAGACTGAGCTGTAGAATTGTTTTTGTCCTGGAATTTGATCTGTTGGCCATCAACAAACTCTAAGTGACACATATTACAAGAATTTAGAGAATGCTAAAAAACACAGAAAAGATGAAGATGAGGATCAAAAGAAACCTTAAGAGGTTTAACAGACTTCATTTCATCAATCAATAACACTGAATCGGTTATTATCTGACAGCCAAAAAGACTCATAGGGTTGGCTGGAGCCCCTTCGCTCTCATGGAGCAAGAGGCAGGGTTCTTATGCTGGACTAACGTTTTAATTCAGCTTTTTATCTCATGTGCCTTTTATCATTCATTCACACTGATGGGTGTATAGAAGGCAATTCCAGGCTCTTGTCCAAGGATATTTTAACATACAGACTCAAACAGTCTTACACCAGTGACCTCCCCTTGGTACTCACTCTGCATCCAGGAGGATTGTGACCATAAAGAAATCTAACCAGGCCTGAGGCTGTAGTAAGGAGCATTTCTAGGAGTCTTTTGAAAGGACCAGTCAGTAGGCCTAACAGGAAATAAAAAAAATAAAATGCCTGTAAAAGCAGAAGATTTGGTTGATTTGGTTGGTTGAGCCGCGCATGACCGGCCGCGTCCTCAAGTCATGCGCGGCTCAGCTGGCTGGAGTGTTCACACACATCTTCAACCTTTCCCTCTCTCTGTCTGTAGTCCCAGCCTGCTTCAAAATGGCCACCGTCATCCCTGTACCCAAATCCTCCACCATCTCCTCATTGAACGACTGGCGACCTGTAGCCCTGACCCCCATCGTAAGCAAATGCTTCGAGAAGCTGGTCAGGGACTTCATCTGCTCTGCACTACCCGACTCACTGGACCCTCTACAGTTCGCATACCGCCACAACAGGTCCACTGATGATGCCATAGCCCTGACACTACACACTGCCCTGTCACACCTGGAGAAGAGAGACACGTATGTGAGAATGCTGTTTGTAGATTACAGCTCAGCATTCAATACCATCGTTCCCTCGAAGCTGGACAGGAAACTGCAGGATCTAGGACTGAGCAGCTCCCTCTGCAGCTGGATCCTTAGCTTCCTGTCTGACAGACGCCAGGTGGTCAGCATCACCTCATCCCCCATCACACTGAACACTGGTGCTCCACAGGGGTGTGTACTGAGCCCTCTCCTGTACTCACTCTACACCTACGACTGCACAGCCACTAACAGCTCCAACATCATTGTGAAGTTTGCGGACGACACTACAGTGGTGGGTCTTATCACCAACAGTGATGAGACGGCTTACAGGGAGGAGGTCAGTGCCCTGACCCACTGGTGTCAAGACAACCATCTCACCCTCAACATCGCAAAGACAAAGGAGTTGATAGTGGACTTCCGGAGGTGCAGAGAAGTACACACCCCCATCACCATCAACGGCGCTGCTGTGGAGAGAGTGAGCAGCTTCCGGTTCCTTGGTGTACACCTGGCTGAGGATCTTACGTGGTCAGTACACACAAACAAAACAGTGAAGAAGGCGCAGCAGCGCCTCTTCTTTCTCAGGAGACTGAAAAGATTCGGCATGAGCCCCCGCATCCTCAGGACCTTCTATCACTGTGCCATTGAGAGCATCCTCACTGGATGCATCACCACCTGGTATGGCAACAGCACCGCCTACAACTGCAAAGCTCTCCAGCGAGTAGTGCGGTGCTCTGAACGGATAATTGGAGGTGAGCTTCCCTCCCTCCAAGACATCTACAGGAAGCGGTGCCTGAGGAAAGCAGGGAGGATCATCAAGGACTCCAGTCACCCCAGCCATAAACTGTTCAGACTACTTCCATCAGGAAGGAGGTTCCGCAGCATCTGGTCCCGTACCAGCAGACTGAGAGACAGCTTTTTCCATCAGGCCATCAGACTGCTGAACACGTCATAGACACCTCAGCTTCACTACTGGAACTTTAACATTATGCACTCCATACTGTACAGTAATGCCACTGTTTTGCACATGTCTCACTCTGTATATTTTATTTTATTTATTTTATATATTCTATTCATTGTTTACTCTATTTAATTTGTAAAATATGTATACACACACACACACACACACACACACACACACACACACACACACACACACACACGTAGAAAAATATTTAGTATACACATCCAGAAATGCATATACTATTATATATTGTACATATATTTATTAGTTTCAGATGTAGCCATTCTTGTATTTTGCTTGTTTACATTATTGTATTTTGCACAACTCTGTTGCTTGTGAAGCTCGCACACAAGAATTTCACTCACATGTGCTGTACCAATGTACCTGCACATGTGATGTGACAATAAAAGTGATTTGATTTGATTTGATTTGATTTGAAGGATTCAGGTGTATGGGAACATGATATCACAATCTTCACAGGAGAAAGCAACCCAGCAAGTTCCCCAAAATTTCAGACTGTGCATTGCTCAGAGAAAAAGCCCTAGAGCTACTTATCAGACATGTTAAAAATGTTCCTGACAGTACATTTAGAAAGACTGAAAAAACTGAACAAGTATGACTTGTTTGGAAGAGTTCCCAGAAGAAAGCATCTGCTTTCTAAAAAGAACATGACAAACTATGAGGCACGGTGGTGGAGGTTAAAGATTACAGGACCTGGGCACCTTGCACTCATTGAGTCGACCATAAACTCCTCCGTATGCCAACTTACTCTAGAGTCAAATATGGGACCTTCTGTCCAACAGCTACAGGTTGGCTGAAACTGGTTCATGCCACAGGTCAGTGATCCCAAGCACAGCAGCAAATCTACAACAGAATGGCTGAAAAACAAAAAAGTGTCAAGAAGTTGCAATTACCTGGTCAGCCCAGACCTCAACCCGACTGAAAAGCTGTGGGATAAACTGATAGTGACGTCACAGTAGATCATATGGTGTATAAATGAAGCTTGAGACTGGGAGACACTGGAACAAAGAGGATACAGTCTAGTTACTGTTGCAAATATGTTTAATGGTATTGAGTGGTAGAAGTTAAGTCACCTCAGACCCTGCTTTTATCCATGCACTTGGGCTGGAGGCCTCGGAGCTCGGTGAAAGTTTTGTAGTGATGTCAGTGTGATTGTGGTCTTGTTGGCTTACTAGTTTGAGTAGATTCAGGTATTTCAAACAACAAAAAATATTCTTTAAATTAAAAGTTAAAAACAAATACACCAGTCTCAAATAAATACATTAAATACAAGGCTACAACTGTATGTAAATATGATCTGCTTTGATATTATCTTCCAACTCTTCGCACACGTGTAGTGTTACAAGTGTTACTCTTTAGATAAAAATGGAATTTTGTTGTTTTTTTAATATAAAAACCTGAAAAGATTAAAGAAAAACTCAAACCCTCCAGCTCAGCTGCTTGTTGTTTTTAGCAGGCAACATAAGGGGATGAATGATGGGGTGTTGGGTTTGCCAATAAAAATAAATAAAAAAGTGCCCTCACTTCAGTGACTCACAGCAAATGTAGTACTTTTTTCTCCCCCTGCGGGCCTTTTGTGTAATGCGGGTGAAAACCTGAGAACTTACGGAGCCCCCCCAGGGGACATGGGAGAAAAAAAAATTAGGGAGGAAAAAAAAAAAATTAGGGAGGAAAAAAAAAATTAGGGAGGAAAAAACAAATTAAGACGGACTTTTGCGAGATCTCGCAAAAGTATTGCGAGATCTCGCAATAAGTATTGCGAGCGCTCGCAAAAGTCCGTCTTAATTTTTTTTTTCTCCCTAATTTTTTTTTTCCTCCCTAATTTTTTTTTTCCTCCGTAATTTTTTTTCTCCCATGTCCCCTGGGGGGCTCGGTAAGAACTGCCTCTTTTTCTTTTTCTTGTTTTTTTTTCATGTTGGCGTCATTTCAGCTTACAAGATGTTCTTAAAGATTTGATTTTTTTTTTTCCAAAGCACCTTAGAGCAGTTTAACCACATTTTTATGTTCGTCACTGGGTTGCAGAGTACACCTGGGGGTTCAGTGACATGCCTGAGTGCACCTTACATGTCTGTGGTGTGAGATTTACAGCTTGTTTCCCAACACAGAAACCCATTTCGACAGGGTCGACCCCGCTGACCTTTCATCGCTGTAGACTAATGAAGCACATATTCTAAATGCTACAAGTAGGTCAAGGAAATTTTAATGAAACAGGCTGAAAATATAGAAAATGTAAAGGTAGAACATGGTGAAATGTTTCAGTTTTGAAGCATGGGAAAATGAATTATAAGGGGAACACTGATAACACCTGGGATTGAGAGGAATCTGAGGAAAATCTGCACTATAAAGGAAATCCTGGGTTGCAATGCAATATCAGAGTTTTCATTAAAACTATTACATATATTTATTTGGGTTTGTTTATCCCATCCTCATCCCAAAACAGTCATTTGGAACGTCAGTCGTACAGGTATGGGTGAGAGTGCTGGGTGTGTCTGAATTATGACAAGTGGGTGAGGTAATTGTACGTGAATGAGAGTGTGTATGTTTCGATGGGCCAGATGAGCAACATTCCAGCGATTGACCAATCCCCAAAGAGTGTGACATTCCTTAGAAAGAATGGGTTTCCAATATAATTTGTGTTTGTGTTTATTGCCCTGTTTTATATAAACTGAGAGCAGGAAATGCCCGGGCAGGGGTTCATCCAATTTGATCCTTTCTTTTAGCCAGGCACAATGTTAAAGATGATAATAATGACAATGATAATGGTAACAGCCCATTTTGCAATTCCAGTTTTATAACTGAAGACTGCAGGGAACAAAGGAAAGTAAACTCTGTCAGTTAGAGCTGATTAAAAT